GCAGCCCCCCCGCTGGGAGCAGACACCGACCGAGCAGGTGGTTGGAGGGAACAGCCCCGCCACTGCCCAAGGGAACAGGATGGCTCTGTGCAGTGGCCTCTGATGGTACTGAAGGCATGGCCAGAGACTGCAGTTCCAGTAATTCTTAATTGCTATTGCAGATGCCAAAGTAAATTTCAGAGCAGCCCAGAGGCTGCTCCCAGTTTATGCAAAAGGACAGTCAGAGAAAACAGCTATTATAAAGTTTGTGTAAGCAAAAGAAAAAAGTATTCTGTAATAAATCCTGGCTTCTTTGGATACATTTCCAACTTTGCAATTATTCAATTATTTATCCTGCGTGAATGCACTCCACGCTACCTTTAATCTACCAACTCTACTCTTGAGACTACTTTCTCATTTAGGAACCTAATTTAAGTGGTTTAAAACTTTTTAAAAGTGACACTCGAGGGATGACATTGCTCATACTTCTTTTTAGTTCAGAAAGGACATGTGTGTGGGCATGCATGTGTGTGGCTTCGTGTGCTGAAGCTGAAGAAAAGCCACACAACCATTTCTGAGGACAAAACAGACAGACACACGGATTCATTTGCTATAATAACAAGCTGGCAACATTTTACAGCGGCACACTCAAAAGCTTGTCCCAGTCGTGTCATACATCCCTGCCTCTTCTGAATACTTTCCCTAGTTCTTCTTTTTCAGAGCTGGGTTTCAAACCTCTGTGTGCCACTGTACTGCACCACAGTTGGTTTAACTCAAGTTTCTCTCTTGTGCTCTTTCATATCGTGACCTCCTGCGCCTCTGACCTGCGGCACCTGCTCCAGCTTTTCCTCTTCAGTTTTCCCTTGTCTTTATCCCTTCTGAGATTCATGCTTGTTTTCACTGTGCTGAGGAGACGACCTGCTTTTCTTTAGCCCTAAAGGCCTATTCATCCCGAAGCCGCAGCCACGCCATTTCTGCTGTTCTTGTATCATTGCTCTTAGCTTTTCCAATCCCATGTTAGTCACCCCAAGGTCGTCAAAGGCAGGCTGCATTCCCCAGTACAAGGAGCACATTCTTTACCCTGCACTGCGCGCAAGTGTACCGTCATAGGCCATAATGATACTGGTTTGTTCTCTTATGAAGAAGCAAAGGACATATTAATAGGAAAGTGTTATGTGTATACATAAATACAGTTAGTGTTTTGAGGCAGTAATGGTTTAGAGAAAAGTTTCAGTTTCTCTGCAGAAAAAATGCCGATCCCTTCCCCAGCTTAGCGTGTTATGGGAAACCCTGGAAGACACAAGTGTAGGGGCCAGAGGCAGAACCAAGGTTCCTAGGAGAACCTCAGTTTTGAATGTCTTCAACTTTTTAGTAGTTAAAGTATCAGCATTAATAATAACATGCAGATTTTGAATTCATCATCAGGAAGGAGTGATGGGATCCTCTGCTGTTTGGTCTCTTTCCACCACAGATCTATGCTGTCTCTCCTGCCATTTCAAACCTCTCTCATTAGAAACTAAAACTGAAGTTTAAAGCATGGTCTTAAGATTCCTAAATGTCAGGCATGCTTGAATACTTAAATACTTGAATACTTACATCTCTGTGATATCTAGAGAATGTAAGTATCTATTTAAATGCTTTGCTGAATCAGGACGACTTCTATTCGTCATGATACTGGTTTTATTTATATATGCCCAACTCAAGTCCATAGTGCTTTTGCATTTCTTTCAGCTGGAGCTAGATCATGAGTTTAGTGAGGATTGTTAAGCACTCTGTTATGCTTTGAAATTGTATGTTTAAAAGCTGTACTTTGACAAAGGTTTTGTGATCCTTAAAGTACACATGATTAACTCAAGCTCTGGAAGCTAAGAAGTTAAACTATTTAATGTAAACACTCTTCATACTACCACCATAAACAAGAAAATGTTACTAAAACCTTTTTCAAAAACTGCCTAATACTGTTTTCCAGTGTTCCTGAAGATTGCATTCTGAAATACTATTGCTAAATAGTGTTTAGCAATATTATATAGGAATAGTCTAAACATTTGTCTCTTTTTTAATAATTCCTGTGGATTACCAATGCACACATATCCAAACACGCAACATTTCTGATAAGTTACTTTATAAAGTGATAGAACTGTGGGGTCAGAAGGGACTTTGGGGTCATCTCCTCCACGTTGTGCCCTGATGCAGGATCAAGCACTTAACTTTTAAAACCTTCCAAAATCTCTGGACCCTGCCATGCTCTTTTCCAGGGGAGACACAGCCCCTTTAGAGTTCCCTGAAACAGGCTGCTACGTAGCGCATACAAACTCATCTCCTCAGCCACCTTCCACAGTCCCTCCCAGATCCCTGTGCCACTGTGGGCAAGTTGGGCAACCACATGCCTAGGCTGTTCCTACACGTGTTCATTTATCTTCTGTTCCTAAAATCATCCACTGATGGAAATTCCACAACCTCCCGAGGTAGCTTCATAGTCTCATCCCTTCACTATCTGTATTTTTTCTATTTTCCCAACAGATACACAACTTACATCTCTCTCTGCTGCAAGTTAGTCCGCTTTCTTCCCTCACTAAGCCCGGGGAACAGTGAGACCATCTTCTTCATAACAACCCTGTTTGGAGGCTGCTATTTTCCCCAACCATATAGGTTTTTTCTCACCATTTGCTCTTACCAAGTTGAAACAATGATCAGGGCTACCTAATACAGCTTCTTTTCACGGAAATTATTATGCAGCGTTGGAAAGAAAACATGATCAGACTGAGGGAAAAATCTTCTGCAACTTGTTTGCCACAGATTATTTCTATAACTGTCACTTTGGGAATTTCTATAAATAAAACCACTATCACTCTTCTGAGAAGTGAGCGTTTACTACCATTTTTTAAGCAATGAAAAAATACAGATCTGTTTTTCATCTAAATTCTTTATATATTTGAAATCACTCAGAGAAGAAAGTCCAAAGAAATGTGGTTAGGTTTGACGAAAAGAAGCCTCCCAGTGGGATATTTAACAGAATACCTAGAAAACAGTGTTGAAAGACTTACAATATTTGGAACCCATTTTTTCAACTCTCGTTCCATGACCTCTGTGCTCCAGAGGACCTTACTTGGCTTTAACTCATTATCCTCTGTGGTGATAACACTTTGGACCCAGGGGAGAAAGGAAGGACTAATTGACCCACGGTTTGAGCAAGGCTTTTGCCTGACCTTGTACATATTAATGACGGGTGTTTGACTTTCAACTTTTTTTGGTATTCAAACACGGCACAAGATTTGGCTTTCCTAGTCTGTCTTTTCCTACTGCATTATGAAACGCCAAGTGGAAGCACACGTGTGTGCGGGCACCAACCTTCCCCCCCACTCCCCAGTCTTCCCAGGCTGCCCAGTACTGCTCAGGGGAGTGCATGGGGTGGAGTGGTGATTCAGCTGGTGAAAGGAGGTGGTGCTTCACACACTGCCCGAAAGGGCTTTTCCTTTCTTGTGTCATCTGCTCTCTCTGGGTCCCCTAAGCTCAGCGCGCTTTTCTCTGCAGAACTCCCCAGGGAGAAGAGGACAAAAATTCCATAGCGTTTGGCAGGAGGGGATTCAAACGAGTCTCTAGTGCCTGATGAATGCCACTGTCTGTGATCACCAGCAGCTTCAAATACATCACTAATTAATTTTTAATAAAAGGAAGTTAATGTCTGTTTTAAGCTTAGAAGGAGAAAAGCAAACCAAAAGTCACTTGAAAGGATATTGCGGTAGCTCATACAAATGTAATCAATGGATACAGCATAGAATAAATATTAATTTTAGTAATAATTGCTCACTTTACAAAGAAAAAGATGAGTGAAAGAACAATGAGAGCTCTGCAAAATGTTGTCTTGCTTAATATGAAAATTTGCGCATCACTATCAGCATTTAGGGACTAATTCTGAAAGTGCTGCGTACTCTTCCTTTCCATTAACTACTGTGGGAGTCGAGAGCACCTGGCGTCTTGAGGAATCAGGCTCTTTGGCAGTTTAATTTAGTCTGACAATAATGCTGAATAAAAATATTCTTGGGGATAGCCTGCAATTATATAGCATGAGCTCATTTCTTCATTATAAAATGTGAGCTGAAACCATTCATAACTGCCAGCCAATATTACAACAGGCAAGTCCAGTTTTTCATTGCATGGGAAAAGCACTAGCGAGCTTAATGAGTTTCAAAAATAGCTGCCACATCAGAAAATTGTAATTGTGCTTGTTTTTCTAATGTGAATACCTGTTCAGCAGACATCGCTTAAACAATGGCATCCAAATAGACCAGGGCATGTAAAATAGCTACTTTTATTTGTCAGCTGCACACCCATTGTTTTCAGTCAGAGCCTGCAGAGCAGCTTCAGCTGTACATTCCTGGGAAGTGAATAATATCAGTTGAGATTACGCTGCAGTACCACATCTATTACAAGCACATTATAAAGATTGAATATAACCTAATTAGGAAATGCTGAACTCGGCTGGGTGTGGATGTGGGCTGGTAAAGAGTCATTTTACATGACCTTCACTTGCTGAAAATGAGAGTTCACAGAGGATAAAGCAAAGGTAACAGTGTAGATTTCAGTCCCGAATCCAGATAACACATACGCAGCTCATATTCCTCAAACCCTTACCGCTAAGTTAAACAATTGCTCCCCGAGTTTCACTTCCATGAAATGCTTTTGTAAACACTTTGCGAATCCAGCACGACAAACCAAATTTGGTCACATTCTTATTTTTGATGCAGATGAGAATCAGAGCTCTATTCTGGCTTTCAGTGCTGGAAGGAAGAGGTTGCAGAGGGAGGCAGCCGGAGTTTCTCCCAGGAAGCCATTCTTCTGTGTGCCCTCGCAGAAGGTTGTATTTCCCCAGCATCGCCTATTACAGAGCCCCTTGCCTCCACCACATGCAGAAGGAGAGCTTAGCAAGCCAGCTGTCTCCTTTGGGTCCTTGCACACTCCCTCGGCTAGGTATTAATAAACCAGCAAAAGACCGCAAATACCTGTAGACCACAGTGTCCTACCTGGATCATGGGACAATTCCAGCTGTAATGTAGCTTCAGGTTTTCTTCATTTTTGGATTTGGATGGGATGTATTTAGATGATCAGAAGATCTTCTGGGTTTGTTTTTTTAGATTCCTTAAGGGCTCACGTTCACTAGACAAGTGTAGGGGCAAACTCTTCCAACAGCTTCATGGGACCTACCTCTTCTTGTAGATCTGGCTCTTCTGACATCCCTTCTGGTCTGCAAGACAGGGTTGTTTAGTTGCTCTCTGCTTGCAGCCTTACCACAGCATCACTGATGAGCATTACGGGATTTCACAGCTATAAAAATCTGTATCAGCTGCCCCTGTGTCTGCACGTTGTTGTTAGCCAGGCATGTTGCTGGCTAACAAGAAGTCACTGACAAAATGCCTTCAAACATGTCTCATGTCTTGCATTTACCTCCTGGTTCCAAAATGAAAGTTGCATTAATGCCAACAGCTGGAAAAGATCAGTGCTCCAAGTTGGATTCATGCCTTACCACTGATTGGAATAGAGGTTGCAGAGAGAAAACTTCAGCATGCCAAGCTTAAAGTAGTTCACTATGTTTATGGGACAAAGTCTCATCTGTACAGGTACTCACAAAGGACAGACCAGTTTTCCCCCAGCACACCACAGAATGGTGCAATTGAGCATGCAGTTAAAACCAGTAAATATAACCTCAGACATCACGGTATGTCCCATAACTGAATACAGTACCAGAATAGATACACTTGAGCATAGCTCTGCTGTCCATGTGCTTAGACCTGAGCTAAAAACCAATAATTACCCGTCTTCTTTGCCATGAATATATTTTTGAGACCCTATTCCCACCAGAAACAAAGGAATGGTTCATCTTTTCTTGTGCTGGCCTTTGCACATTGTTTAAGCACTATGACATTGATTCTCAGCTGATTTTACTGTAAGTCGAGAATAACTATTAAGATCAGTGGCATGATGCTGGTGTGAAATTGCATGCAGGCGTCACTTAAAGAAAGGCACTTCATAGAGACATGTCTTTACTATGTATTTACTACGGTGTGCACCTCTGCATCTCCTGATGTTACCATAGGTGTGCCGCTCCTGTCCTGTGCCCTGTAGATTAGGACCGTGTCTGCCTCTACCATAGACTCCATAAACACTGGAGACTTCTTTCTTCTCACAAATGTGATTAGTTATGTCTATCCTCTGCATCAATATCAACAAAATCTGCATTTAAAATGCAAACTAAAATTACCTATTCCACAGTCCCACAAATATTCTCTAGTTCACAACTTACACAAGTCACAAACCAAACTTGAAACCACCAAAACCCCCAAGATTGTAAAGGTCTGACTTTTTTCTGTTGCCCGGTGTCCCCGGAGCAGTTAAGAGAAGTGAGTTGCTACCTTACTTTTGAAGCACTAGTTTTGAACCTGTTTGTGGGCCCCTGGTGCCCACTTCTTATGAAAGGTAAATAAGAAAAGAATGCTCATTGTCAGTAGGTTTGTATCTGCACAGGAAAATTTTTAGGAGCCTGCAGTTTGAGAAAGATGGAGGTAGCCAATCCAGGACATGCACGTTCACACCTTTTTCTTACACATGCTAAAGACTTAGCGATTTATTTTAGACAGAAAAGCATTAGTGCAAACAAAATATAGGGAAAGCTTAAAAATGGTTAGCATGATAAGATCTGAAATAAATTTTTTAAAGATACCTCCATTTTGTAAGATACCTAGTGCATTTGCAGAAAAATGTCTATAAACCTAGTAACAAATATAACTGTTATATATGTTTTAATTTTCATAATATTCACATCAATTATGGTAATGTTTTTACCAGTGCTCCTGTTATATAATTAGATGACCTGACATCTGGCTAAACAAACAACATACTGTATGTGATTAAAACACTGATCAAATTGCATAGGATAACAATATGACAGTGCTGGAAAAATTCATTTGCTTGTGATAAGTAGTGGTGGGGTTTTTCCGCAGACAAAAACACTTTCATCTGAAGAATATAACCATCATTAACTCCTCCTCTCCCTTCCTCACCATCCCACACGTATATAAATATGTTGTCATCCTAGAAGATCGTTTGGGAAGCAACCGGACTAATCTTTTTAAATGTGGTAACAGCCTACAAACTGGCCGTTAACTACAGGCAAAAAGTGCCCTGCTAGTGTAATTAAAGCCTAGAATAAGAAAACTCCCACTTAATTCAGTAGGAATTTTGCCTGCACTAGCTTAGTCCAGAACCAGGTGCTTATGTTTTGGGGGAATTTTGACACTCAGTGAATATTTTAAATCCCATTCTGTTTTAGCTAAACTAGTCTTTTTGAGTAACCTCTTAAACAAACTGGTATGACTGGAATACGTATTCTAGAGAAGAAAGATGTGTATCAAACCTTAATCAACAGTCTTTCTGCTGAATGACATAATTTGTTTTTCTTAAGTAACCACACTATGTACAGGTTTTTATTTGGGATCTGGTATGTTTAATGTTGGCTTTCTGTTTTTTTTTAATGTGGTTTACTATAGGTGTATTACACTTACACTTATGTCTATTAAAACTACTGGAGTGGAACAAATAGAGTCAGTTAGTAACATCTGCCAGTTTACTAGAAACACACAAAGTGTTTTTGTTACAAGATTTCCATTACTTGCAGCAGCCAGTGCTCCGAAACCTCTAAGAACAGCTCATTCTATTTGGTCTAAATTTTCAGCTGGCTACACAGAGGTGTGTGTTAACCCAAACCAGATTATGCATTTGAGTTGATATCATCTGATGATGGAATTAAAAAAAAAAGCCCAAAAGTTTGTCACAAGTCCTCCTGTAAGTGCGGACAATATGGAATCTAATAAACCTTGCTGGATCTGAGCTAGCACTGCACAGAGAGCAGAAAACCACACCGCTTTCCAACCATTTGCTTATTCAGCCTGTCTGAATACTGAGAAAATCTTGTTGCATGCATCTTTATATTTTACTTCTGTTTGTCTGTTCAAGACTGTAAAAAGTAAACGTGAAAGACACAGAAAAATGTGAAATTCTTTCAGATATCTACTTTTCCTCCATTTTGATCTGATTTGTAAGAAGTGGGAGTGTATTTTTTTCCCATCAACTTTGAGTTCCTTACAAATATTTCACATAGATTCATCAATATTCAGTTTAATACTGGAGCCACATCAGCTTAAAGCTAGGTTATTAGTGCTCAGCTTTGGATTTCCAGCCATGTATGGCTATCTTGCATTTCTATCCTTGAAGAGATGACTTTTCTACACAGCCTATTCCATTTTTAACTGGACTCCTAACTGACGTGCGAATCTCAAATGTATGCTTTATGCAGTACAGGCACATCTTTTGGAAAAAAGACCTTGGCACCATTGAAAAATGTCACGTGATGACTCTCTCATGACATGTCCAACTATGAAAAAACTACTTAAAAAATGCATGGTTGAAAAAAAATGCCAGCGCAGATTACAGTAAATTCCCTAGTGGATTCCATCAAGAAAGGAAGGAGTCTTACTCAGCATTTACTCATAGTCAACTAGTTCCTGAAGTGCCGAACAAAGATTTACTCAGGCTCTGATTTGGTAGGATGCGCATGTGGAGATGCAGAGGCGATCCTTCCTGAAGGGATGCCAGAGCTCTCGGCATTTCCAATGATTTGGAGAAAGGAGGAAGGTATCAGCTGGGAAGAGAAGGAGGAAGGGATCCTATTTCTGCATCTCAGTGTTTTCATATTTACCTTAGTTTGGCCTTGCTTGCCATTGTGTAGTGTTTGTTTTAAAAGTGACTCAGAATTTATGGAGCCTTTCAGGAGGATGTCCCGCAACCTGTGATTCATGACATCCTGCAGAAATTGCATGCCGGTTAATAATACCCTCTCTGTATGGAACTGCATTTCTGAGCTGTGAAACATAACAAGTGCTGACAAATCCTTCTAACTTAATTCTGTCAAAAACCTATTTTGTGATGTGCAGCCTTTCAGAGTATAGGTCTACCACCCTACAAGGCTTCCAGAGTGTTTGGTGGCAGCTCACAGGCCACAGAGCCCATCCCTCCACATACACTGACCCACAAGAAATAAGGGGGTCATATTTAAAGAGCTTACACCCATTAATGCTACATTATCTGAAAAACTGTTGGATTTTTAAAATACAAACTTCCAAATTAAAGGTTTAGTCTGTAAAGCCAATCACCATGCCCAGCACTCCCTGCTGTGGAGCAGTCCCAGGGATTTTGCCTGGGAGAGGTCATCTTACGGCTCACTTGAGTTCAAAGGAAAGTTGTTGACTTCAAGTAGCTCTCTGCCTGGCAATATGCCTAATAAGATTTACAAGTTTGGAGCATGTTGACCAGCAAGTTATTTATATTTAATTTTAAATTAAACTGTTATTTAGAATAAATAAAATCCCACAATATTAACAAGTTAACATTATTAACACCTAGGGAAATTAATTTTGAAATATGCAGTCTCTTAAAAGTGAAATGGAAATAAAAATGTAGGAAGGAAAGTGCCATTAAGAGCAAGCTACCATAATGATGTAGCATGCAAACAGGTGGGCTTTATAGTTCATTATTAGGTCCCATGGAACTTGCTGGTACTTTGCTGCTGGGATTTGGCAAAACGTGCCCTTAACAGAAAGTTCTGCCTGGACATCAAACTGACTTATAAGGACATAGTGCCAATGACATTATTATGCATGCCTTAATACCTCTTATTCTGCAAGGTAAGAAAGTTTTACGCTCCTCAAAAGGAATTACCTTAAAGGAAAATATTGACCATAGAGATAAATACTGACCTGAATTGAATGACCTTACTGCTAAATAATCTTTTGTGTGGGTGGGGACATGACAGTCAGCACTAGAGAAATATCAAGAAACACTGAACTTCTACATTCCAGCACTTCTCATTTTGGAGTAGTATTGCCATTTTCTGTAAATAGCTGTGCCTTCAGCCACAGGATATTGTAAACTGAAACACTTCCTAAAAAACACAATGCCTGCACAGGTGCAGTGAGCCAGCAGGATGATATGAAGAGTTATTCTGTGACGCTCGTCCTCACAAATGTATGTGTCTCTTGATCCCTGTGGCCATAAGAAACCTTTTAGCCACCTTTTCTCTCAGTGCTGAATACTCCAACATGTGAAGAATGTTTTCAAACAGGATGACAAGCCTACATCCTGCACGGATTTGAAAGGAATTGATTGCAAAGAGCAGGCAATAGCCCATAATATCCTTCCTGCTCAGTTGGCCCTCCTATCGCTGCTGATCTCAATATGGGGAAGTCCCAAATAAATAGGAGCTTTAAACTTCCCCCGTTGTGCTGCATTCCTATTTGGCATCTAAACCCCTATTATTTGCTATCCAATGGGGAGACAAATGGATCATCGATTAGCTCA